ATTTTCCAGCAGCCCACACACTCCCTTAGTCTACCATAAAAAATTGATAAAGAAAAGTCATTTCATTAAGAAAATTAAAACTAATTAAAGTACATCTAATAATGCTATATTTATTTGTAACTATATATTAATTTTATTTTGAAATCATTGGTTCACATATTTGAATTATTTATTTTTTCTTTAATTATTATAAACAGAAATGATATTGTACTAATTAATTTATGATATTTATCAAATTGTATTTTTAAAAATATAGTGTTTTACCGGCAATTTATATCATGCACCAGGGTGCGCATTGCATCGTGCGTCCTGATGTAATACATAACTGTATAAAAAAATACACATAATTGTATAAATAAATACACATAATGATATAAACAAATACACATAATAACGTCAACCCCCTTCCGCGCCTCCCAAAACAACGTCGTTTTGGGAGGCGCGAGATGCACAGTGCTGCGCGCGTCGTGGTGCAGGGTATAACGATTGTGTTTTACCCGTGCGTTGCACGGATTTTTTTATTTTTTTTATGAATTTAAAATTAAAAATAGAAAACAATGAAAATATATTATAATGTACAATATAATAATATAGTTGGATTTTTATATATTTGGTAAAGTATATATTTTCATAACATACAAAATTTAAATTTAAATTTTGTATGTTTAATATAATCTCTAATCATGTACATATTTAGATAAATTTATTGAAAAATTCACATAATTAAGTTTATTTATTCCTAATTGTATTTCATATATATTATAATTCTAAAAATATGAATACTAACTAAGAGAATTGTACTTCGAAATCAATAAAAAAATGTAAATTCTAAATTTTGTATGAATAAATTTAAACTCTAATCGGACGCATTTCCTTATATGATTGTATAATACATTGTATATACACATAATATTTATTAAATGTATATAGACAAATTCTATAATATAATTTCAATAATTATAATTTATATTGATAGATTTATAATTAAAAAATTACATTTAGAAATTTAAAATGTAGCATTTAAATATTGTATGATTATTATAGTGTATAATTGTATGTAAAATTATAAATATTCATGTTTTGTTAATTTTATACTTTCATTTCTTTAATTATATTTCATATTTTATTAATTATAACTTAATGAAATTGTCACAAATATTTTTAGGGAAGAAATATTATATTTTTTAGTTTTAATAATTATATTAATTATAATTAATAAATATTGTGACAATTACCAAAATAATTTCATTAATTATATTAATTCTAATATTTGTTCTCTTCCAATATTTAAACACATTACCATAAAATTATCATAATAATTACACGAAAGAAGGAAAGAAAATTATTAGAATAATTACCATTAATATTAAAAATTAATTATACATTAATGTAAGTATAATTTATTTTATGCCAATAATATTATACATTAAGTATATATATATAATTATTGAAAAGAGGATATAATTTTAAAAAATAAATTATTAATTAGATTACATAATATAACTGTCCCACTAATTGCTTTCATACTACTATGTATAATTAATATATTTGAATTTTTTTAAAGCTAAATACCTATTAATTACCTTAATAATTAAGATAATTTTTAGTCAATCAATATTCAATAGTACTAAATGTATTACTTCAAATTTTTATAAATAAGATATAATATTATTAAATCGAAATAATTAAAAATAATGTGTCCATATTACAAAAGATTTTATAATAGTAATTTTTATTGCCTAATAGAATTTGTCAATTGTTAAACATTATTTATGGTAATTATTGTATGACATTTAATACTAAGATTATCAGGTATAATTTTTATAATTAAGGTATAATATTATTAAACCAAAATTATTAAAAATAATGTGTCCACAATATAAAATAAATTATACTTGTCTTAAATAATTATTTATTAATATAAATTTATAATTATAAATTTGTATCCGAAAAAACATAGCAACTGAAATTTCTGGTTAAAAAAAAAAAATCTCTCCATTTTTTGTCACCAATTTATAGGTAGAGAATGTGAGAATTATAAATTAATAATATAAGTTTCATTTTCCATTTCCTTTTCTATTCAGTCAATTAGGGATTTTTATAATTTTCAGTCCATTAGGGATTTTTATAATTTTTAGTCCATTAATAATATACGTTTCCTTTTTCAATTTGCATAATTTCACTTTCGTTTTCCAAATCCGTGTTTCATCTGTTATTCCCATACATAATATTCACGTTACTATAAATTGATTAGCAATTAATACATTTACAATACCATAATTATGCAATATTACCAATTAATACATTTTAATTAATTTACATTAAACATATGCTTACCAAATAAGATTTATTAATTATTTGACTAAAAATAAAAAATATTTAATTAATTTAATACACGAGTTTGGACGTGAAAATGATGTAGGATGATTTTACTTTATATATATATATATATATATATATATATATATATATATATATATATATATATATATATACACACACACACACACACGTTCATATGAAATAATATTACCATACATACTTGTTAATATTTTGATTTATTAAATTGGTTACAATTCATATTATGGTATGAATAATTCTTATGCAATATACAATTTGGCAACTCAATTAATATTAAGATTTAGCGCAATGAACATATTTCGTCTTGTGTACTCATTTGACCGGAAATATGAAGGTTGGTTCAATAAATCGTAAATATTACCAATTGTTTGGTTAGAAAATAATCTTTATCAAATAAAAAGTAATTAAATTGATAAATTATACTTAAAAGGTAAATATTATGGGTAATTTTCTTATATATAAACCTTTATTAAATTATTTTATTATAAGGAGCGAAAAATTTTATACGTAAATTGTTTTATAATTTACTTTGATCTTGAGGTCACACACACACACATATATATACACACTGTAAATATTACAAAATACTTGGTTATAGAATAAGCTTTATTAAGTTATATATAAATTAAAAATGATTAAATTGTTAAATTATACAAATTGGAAAACTCTTAACAAAAAATTAGCAAAAATGTAACCACATCCGTAAATTTGATTCTATTTCGTAAATGATTTATAAAAATCTGTGTGATTTTATTTCGAAAATTTCAAAGAATAGTGCAGAGTAGTAGTAAATTAAGGTAAATATTACCCAAAATTCTCAAAACCAAAAACATATTTGATCTTATTGAGAAGTGAGAAATGCCTGTTACATAACAATAACAAAATATAAAATTATAAGTGAAGTTGAATGTTGGAATAACTATACAATCTTTAGAGCTATTAACATATCCATCATTATTTGAATCACATATTCTTTCAAAGAATATGCATATGTAGAAAAGTACCATGAATTTGTAGAAAAAAAAAAAAAAAAACACCTCTTTATCATGGACTACACACTCTATAGAGTTCATTGTTTCAAAACCTCTTGCCTCTGGAAGATGAACAACACGGAGCACTCCAACATTGATTCTATTCCAAATGAGTGTAGGATGAAGTTGACTACCAACAATTTCGTTGTGACTTCCTGCTACAACAATTAGACAATTATATTATTTTTAAAATAAATATATAAAAAAATAAAAGAGAAATAATTTTAAAAAATAAATGTAGTTTCAACTATTATATAATAATAATGCATATTACATGTAAATTTATAAATTCGTTGTAATTGCCAATGCTTAACATCATTGTAGTTTATCCAGTTATTGTGCGTACCTTCTACAACGTGGGCACACGTGGTGTTGGAAGTCATCAACTCTCCTTAATGCATGTAAATAGTTGTTCAGAACCATTTCAATTGTCTCTATATTTATATCCTGCAATATTTGCAAAAGATGCAGAAAAGAAATAAGAACATAAATTAAGAATTATGCCATTGGAAAATGAAAGACGCAATGCATAACTCACCCCAGTACAAAAAGGAAGAGTTATAATTTTTCTAGTCACTAATCCATTGTATTTATAGGTAGAGATAGAGAATGTGAGAATTAATTTATTTTTATATTTTCAATCAATTTGCCTAATTTCTGTTTCCTTTTTTCATTAGAATCCTTTTATATTTTCAATCAATTAATAATATCAGTTTCCTTTTTTCAATTTATATTGACTGGATTTCACAATGGTATATTGGTATTGCATAATATTACCAATTAATAGCTTTTATAACATTTCCATTTTACATTTGCTTACCAAATAAGTTTTATTAATTTGACCAATAAAATATTTCATTAATTTGACTATAAAAGTTTGAGCGGGAAAATTACATAGGAGGATTTTACTTTTATATATATAGAATATATATAGATATATAGATTTATTCTATAAACAGATCTTTCATGCGGGATTGTGGGATTAACTAATTAAGGAATTTAGATATATATGGTTTCAGAATTCATACTTGCTTAACAAATAATCTAATATTTTGATCGTGACTCATGGTAAGTTCGTAATATACTTGAAATCTTATATGTTCAATGTTATAAGTTGTTGTCTGCATTGCGAACTACATTAACTATTAAGAATTTCTTTGTGTATAAATATGTTTAGTGGGTTTAAACGGGTTTCGTGTCATATTCGTGTTGACACGACCTTAAACCTATTAACAAAACGTGTCTATAGTGTCAACCCGTTTACAAATCGTGTTCGTGTTAATAATTTCAACCCGTTAACCTTAACGTGTCGTATCCGTGTTTATTCTTATCGTGAATTGTCAGGTCTAACAAAGAGCCAATAACACCTCCACTGAGACTCGAACTCACAACCGTCCATATGGGAGTCCAACCCGGGTGCCACTAGACCACAAGAAAAAAAAAAAAAAAAAAAAAACATCCTCGTTCATAACGAACTGACGTGTCTCTGCCACATTCGATATTTTTTTTAATTTTTTTTTGAGATATTCTTTTAAGTTTTCTCTTAAACTCAAAGAATGGATTAATTGAAGCAACAAAAACACCCAAATTCAACTCATTTCCTCTTCAAGTTCTCCCCTTTGCAAAAATTATCTGTCTTTCCTTACGAGCCTCGCATTGGGTGAGCAAGAACCCGGCTTTCTTGATCACTCTTTCTTGTACGTAAATACACACATATACCCATGTGCAAGAATGCGTGCGAGTCCACAACGTATATAACTATAATGCAGATGTCGTTTCAATAATTGTGAGTCCAAATCCGAATAACCCAATAATATAAAGGGGAATATGCCTCTGTCGCCAAAACGTTGAGTCTTGGCGATTAATAAATCTCAAGTCCTCAACATTCTTTTCTTTTTTTTTTTTTTTTGGTTTTTTTTTTTCCCTCTTGGTTTTGGATTTTCTCTGGAATTCGTTGCCTTTTTATCATAATTTTCTGGCCGGGATTTGGGGTTTGATAGACAAAAGTTTTCTCTATTGGTTTGATCATCTGGGATTCTGGGTAGTGAAGTAAAGCGATCGGGAGGTGGAATATTTGAATTGTGGGGATTTTATTGATGTCATTTAGTCTTGGTGGATGGTGATAGATACAGATTGTTTTCTGGGGTGATTACTTCGGAAGGGCGGTGAGTTTTGATGTTATTAATGATATTTGTTGATCCATTTTTTGTTCAATTTCAAAAGATTGAATTTTGAGGTGGTAAAGTGGAAAATATTGCAAGCTTGGGTGTAGGCAATGGGTGTAATGTAGGTAATAAGGTTAAAAAATGAAATCTTGATGAAGCTGGGTGGTGATTTTTGATGTTATTAATGATATTTGTTGATCCATTTGTTGTTCAATTTCAGAGGATTGAATTTTGAGGTGGTAAAGTGAAAAAATTGCAGGATTGGGTGTAGGGAATGGGTGTAATGTAGAGAATAAGGTGAAAAAGACGCAATCTTGATGAGACGGGGTGGCGGTTTTTGTGATGAGGATTGAGATTGTGTCAGGTAGAGGGTTAGGGGATTCGAATATTGTGAGAAGATGAATGCAGTGGGGAGGCTTGGCAGCTATATTTCTCGAAGCGTGTATACTGTTTCCACGCCATTCCATCCGTTTGGTGGGGCTGTGGATATCATTGTGGTGAGGCAACAGGACGATAGTTTCAAATCCTCTCCTTGGTATGTTCGGTTTGGGAAGTTTCAGGGCGTCCTGAAGGCAAAAGAGAAGGTGGTTAAGATATGTGTGAATGGTGTGGAAATGGATTTCCATATGTGTCTGGAGAACGATGGGCAGGCGTGTTTTCTAACCGAGGTGGATGTAGAGGACGGGGAGGAGAGCCCCTCGTCTCCCCCGCCTTGGGATGGTGATGATGCCGAGGAACTGGCGGATACTAGACTGTCAGTGAAGTCGAAAAGTTGCAGTTTTGAAGGTGTGGACACGGTTGCAGCTACCAAGATTGATTTGGGGAATGGGAATGGCGTGGTTAGGACAAAGTGGCAACGAACGGGGTTTCTTGGGTATGTTTTTGGCAGGAAAACGAGTGTCAAAGAAGGCAGTCTTTCGGAGAACGAGAAGGAGGATAGTGGTGTTAAGGATAATCATTTGGAGCATGCCGAGATTGCTGCTGATCTTCTGGAGATGAAATGGACTACCAATTACGAAGCCCCCAAATGCATTAAAGATAATAATGCATCAAATCTTTCTTCACAAGATGTGTCAAAGGGGGACTCGAAAAATGACAATAAAAGCGTATCAGATAAATTGGATTCTCTGGAAAACGCTTTGCTGGATCATAAAAGCGTTGATAGTTTCCCGGCATTAGAGAATACTGAAACTTCTGCTATTGAAGTCAGTATCGGGGACAAAAGTTCGTTCCATGATCAAGAACCTATCGAAAGTGATGTGACTTCTTCAAACACACCAAATCACGATACTGAAGCTTATTCCCCGCCTCTCTATTCCCATCCGATTAATTGTTCTCACGAGGATGGAGAAGTGCCGGGCATTTTTGCCATCCCGAGTATTATTAACTCGACTCACGAGGCACAAGTCGAGAAAAGTAGTACAAAAGACGATAGAAGTAGCCAGCTTCGTCGTCTTGAATCTGATCGTCTTTGTTCCTTCCACAGCACTGTAACATCAGTAAGCTCGGAGGAAGGGGAAGATGAGCGGCTCCTCTTTGGCGACTTTGATGATTTAAGTGCCAACAATGAGAAGAACACGTCGAGTGTTCCTTCAGATAACGAGGAAAAAGAAGGGGATGAATCTCATGTTCCATTTGCTGATGCAAGCAAGTTGACAAGCGTTGTAAGCAATGTTGACATTCCCGTCGTCTGTGAAACTCAGCCCGATAAACTTCCGAGGATGGCCATGTCTTTACCCAATTTGTGGGCTCATGATAGCCATTTGTCTAGCGGGAATGGTGATCAGAAGTTGTCTGAGATATCCCGGAGAGCTAAAGTTGCTTCAATCACACCGAAACCAAATGTTAAGGCTGCTGTGCCAGAAACTGGTAAAAGAATACAGCTTTGTCCACAAATTATCATCTTTTTTACATTCTCTAAATTTCCGGTTATCTATCTATCTATCTCTGTGCTGTAATGACTTTGTGTTTATATTATGTATGATTAAGATACCAAGAGGACTTGGCCGCTTGCTTTAAAGAGAGCAAAAAGCTCAAATCCCCCTCGGCCTTCTCGGAATGTCATTGGAAATATTGGTACCAAAAGTCTCCCGAGAGGCATAGGTGGCAGTGTGGGAGAAGATTTGCCTAAAGTTAATAAGAAGATCGTACGGGCACTCACTCCAACATCTGAACAGCTGGCATCTTTGAACCTTAAGGAGGGGAGGAATGAAATTGTGTTCACATTCTCAACTCAAATGCTCGGGGAGCAGAAGGTTAATTAGTTTTGGTTCACTGTTTATTAACGTTCTACTGCTTTTATGGATGTTTTAAAATACCTCCATGTTTTTCCATCCGGTATCTCTGTATCTACACAATAACCATGTATTTTTCATGTGTATATTGTTGAATTTGGAAGATGGAATGGCCTGGCGGGTGGAGAATAACAACCACCCGCCAGTTAGGCGGACAATCATGAAGAATCAAGGAATAGAAAATGTATAGATAATGTATGATTATGTATTATCTGTCTGTGTTTCTAACAAAGAAACATAGTATATGTATATATACAAACACATAATTGTAAGTAACTACCCATAACTGACACCTATTCATAAACAGACACAACTTTATAGGTAAACCTAACTCTTTATTTTTCAACATATATAACATATATACTTCACAGGTTGATGCACAGATTTATCTTTGGAAATGGGACATGCGCATTGTGATATCTGATGTTGATGGGACAATTACAAGGTAATTGCTTTTTGTCCCTCTTCGATTTCTTCTCATTCCTATGGATAAGTATTCTTCTCGAGAACTTGCAACGCTTATATACCCTACTGATTATTGATATAGCATATGCTTTATCAAATAGGGTCAAAGAACAATTTTTTTCTTTAATGATGTTCGATGAATTTCACAGATCCGATGTTCTGGGACAATTCATGCCTTTGGTCGGGGTAGATTGGTCACAGACTGGTGTCGTACATCTCTTTTCAGCTATAAAGGTCTGTTTTTTTCCCAGTTGAAAGATGCTGTTTTAGAATTCGTGTGTAAATACATTTGATTTGTGTGCTATGTTTGATGGGTTTTTTGTCTCGTATCGGTGCAGGAGAATGGATATCAGATGCTGTTCTTAAGTGCTCGTTCAATTTCACAGGCCTATGTTACTAGACAATTCCTAGTTAATCTTATGCAAGTAGGTTCGATAAAATTTTACTGTGTGGATATGTATATATGATTCGAGAAGCGAAAATTGGGTAAATGTTAAGTCCTCGTCTTTCGCTGCAGGATGGAAAGGGAATGCCGGAAGGTCCAGTTATTATATCTCCTGATGGACTTTTTCCTTCTTTATTTCGAGAAGGTCACTTAAGCATTCTGTCTGTCCGTTTTTGTAATTTTAAATGTTTATAGTAGCGTAAATTCTCATTTGAGTTCTTCCAGAAGAAGGCGAGAATAACTTTGTCGAGTTAATTTTCCATGTATACTAACATCTCGTGGTGTCTACCTTCTCTAGTGGTACGAAGAGCCCCACATGAATTCAAAATTTCGTGCTTGGAGGTCAGTTACTTAATCGATTTTTCAATTCCCTAATTTGATTTTCGTGATTGGCAAATAATTATATCGTTTTTATCCATTTTGCAGGATATTAAGGCGCTGTTTCCTCCTGATAGGAACCCCTTTTATGCCGGTTTTGGGAACAGAGATACTGACGAGATTAGCTACCTTAAGGTCGGAATCCCCAAGGGAAAAATTTTCATCATTAACCCGAAGGTACGTAATTATATATCTCTATATCTTCTATCGAGTTTCTCTGCATACGATGTTACTAGAGACTGTTTGAGAATGGTGTCGAAATACAATACAGGGTGAAATTATTATGAACCGACATATCACCAACACAAAATCATACACGTCCCTTCAAGCTCTCGTGAATGGCATGTTTCCAGACTTTACCTCATCAGAGCAGGTTGGTTATTTCAAAATTTTCTCGACAAATGATTGCTGGTTTTGATATCATGCCCGTATTCTCTAGAAACTAGAAACATTGAATATCTATGACTACTTGGGCGTATAAATTATTGCCCGCTGATTTGCAGCAAGAGGATTTCAACTCGTGGAACTTCTGGAAACTTCCACCTCCCCCGATTCTTCGTTGACATGAAGCTCGTGGAGTTTCAGCGTTCTTTGAGATCGAAGAGAGCGGTTCCTAGTTGGAAGGAAAGCGTGCAGGCTACAGGAACAGATCGAGTTGCCAGCCAGCTATACATGAGTGATGAAAATCGTGTTCGTGTTTCAGAGTCTCGTTGAATGGATAATTGTTTGGTAGAAAAACGCCATTCGATTCGCGTTTCAATTAGTCGCCATCCGTTTAGTGTTTATGCTTGCAGTGGAAGGTATGTACATTAGATAAGTCCACTAAACCTGGTGGCTTTGCTACATAGATAGCTTTGTTTTACATGTATAGTTCTGGTTTACATTAGTATAGTTGTAGGAATATTATCCCACTAAGGATAATAATTTTTTCAAATTGTTTTGTTGGCAATAATACATGTTGATCAAGTTGTTTTCTTGGAAGTAATAATACATCTGTATAATTGTCAGTTCAACAATAACACTAGTGATTAGCTTGCAAGTTGCATTCTACTTTTATCAATTATCTTATTTTGATAGCTGTCATTTGTGCTCTCGTTAAGAGGTTGGTGCATGGCGAGAAAGGACGAATAGTAAGGGTTACTTGATGTCAAATAAAGAGTTTAGAGCGAATTATTCAGTGTGGGAGAGGAGGGGATGACTTAGAAAAAGGTTACCTGGTGCGTGATAAGGATCTAAAGAGAAATGAGTTTAGAGTGTGAAGCGTGAGTAACTTAAAGGATGTGATTGAATGGAAGGGACTCGTGGGACTCATCCATCCTTAACTAAAGGTCAAGGATTCGTTCCTTAGGCTTTGAAAATGGAGTAGTTTTAAATCTCTAGGCCAGCTGTCCCACCCAAAAGAGGTGCGTACAATTCAGCAAGGAGAGGCCAACTGTCCCACCTAAAAGAGGTGCGTACAATTCAACAAGGGTATGGACACAGTGGAAACCTTGAGTAAACCTTACAAAAAGTCACCGTGTCCAACAGTGGAAATCCTGAATAAATCTTACAAAAAGTCAATATTGTCCTCATTGAAGCTCGAACCCATGACCTCTAGTCTCTAGAGAGGCATTCCGATACCTTACAAAAAGTTAATATTGCCCCCATTGGAGCTCGAACCCATGATGACCTCTAGTCTCTAGAGAGAGGTGCCTACAATTCAGCGAGGGGATTAGTCACTGTGTCCAACAGTGGGAATTCCCATTGAGGCTACCTCTAGTCTCTAGAGAGAGAGGTGCATACAATTCAGCGAGGGAATTAGTCACTGTGTCCAACAGTGAAAACCCTGAGTACACCTTGTGTCTAACAGTGGAAACCCTAAGTACACCTTACAAAAAGTGAATATTGCCCTCATTGAGGCTCGAATCCATGATCTCTAGTCTCTAGAGAGCCACTCTGATACCTTACAAAAAGTTAATATTGCCCCATTGAGGCTCGAACCATGACCTCTAGTCTTTAAAGAGCCACTCCGTGTCTCCGTGCAACTAGACCACAAGGTCATTGGCAGATCAAAGACCTTTATTAGTTAAAATTTAATACAACTATAAGATATTGAACAACAAATTAAACAGCCTCCCAAAGATTATTGTAGAAGACAATTATTGTAGCAAACATTAATTTCACCCATCTCAGGGAGGGGCTTACTTATAGCTGAGGCTGTGTGCATATTTTACGAGTCGACCCATCTCTTCCTCGTCGTCGATAAAACCATTACGGTTGGAATCTGCACGGCGGAGTGCTCGCCTAGCTCGCCACCCGGGCACCGCCGATCCTAACTCGGCAAACGCTTTCTCGATCTCTTTCTTGCTAAGCGAAGCATCGCGATTGCCGTCCTGGTTGCTGAACAATTTCCTCAGTTGTTCCTCCGATGGAGGCTGGCAACATGGACACCTTACACTGCTGCTCCGACCAGCCATCAAAGATTTGAACAGTACAACGTTGTTTGTCTTAAGACCTCTGTGTCTTACAAGATCGATATAGAGGGTATATAAATATAATTATATATACACACGAAGGTGATTCTTTTACTTTGAACAATGCTATATTCCAAGGGTGTTTTTGTTTCTCGTATTTGCATTAGATTCCAATAACTTATCGGAGTATGAGAATGGAATCGGATGCATAAGTAAAGTTGTATTTAATTAACCGTGTGATTGAGTGGAAATGACTCATCCATCATTAATCAAAAGTTAAGATTCTATCCTTGGCTTTAGATATGGAGCAGCTTTAAATTTCCATATCAGCATTTAACGAGGAGATTAAAAAAAAAATTGTTTATTAATCTTTTTAATTTAAACTGATCAATTTTCCTTGTAATTTTTTATCAGTTAAAGTACACATTTAAATAACAATTACAAATTTTTTCGTAAATTAAAAGTGAACATAATATAATAAGTTGACTTATGGTAATAATGCGAAGATGATAACACAGCATATATATATATATATATATATATATATATATATATATATATATATATGTTCGAATATGTGTGCAGTATATATATGCCTTTGGAATTTATTCATTGGCGCCAGTGCGCCACTAGGTAGCAATTTGGAGTTTGCTCGAAAAAAAAAAAGGGTAGCAATTTGGAGGTGGTCTTTTTTTTTTTTTTTTTTTTTTTTTTTTTTTTTTTTTTTTTTTTTTTTGAAAGAAAGCAATTTGGAGTTTCTAGAATCACAATTGGGTCGGTTTAATTGGGTATGTGTATAAAGAGGTAAATAGACAATCGTTATACCGTCCACCAGCGCACATAGCACTGTGCGCTTCGCGCCTCCCAAAACAACGTCGTTTTGTTAAGTTATTAAAAAAAAAATTCTATCTTGATTACACATTAACTAATTACACATAATGAATTTGATTAACATAATACACATAAACTCTTAACAGAATACACATAAATTCATAACACAATACACATAAAATTTTAATTAAATACACATAATGAGGTTTGATCTGTTCGGATAGACGGAATGACGTCAGCATGAAACGCGAGCGTTTTGTGCCTGGGCACACATTGTTATGTGCGCCATGGTGCACGATATAAATTGCCGTAAATAGATGTGCATATTAGATAACATTCATCTACATAATAAAGAGGTAAATAGATTTACTTTTAAGTTTTCAAAAAAAGATTTACTTTAAAAAAATTTCTCTCTCCCTCTCTTTCACACACACACACACACACACACACACACACACACACACACACACACACACACACATATATATATATATATATATATATATATATATATATATATATATATATATATATATATATGGAAGGGTTCAGGTGCAAGTATAATTTTCCGTGCGGTTGTACGGTTAACTCAAAAAGACGTCCTTAAGGACACAAATCATGCACCTAAAGGTTTAAAATGGTACACCTTAAATTTCAACAACTGACGCACATTAAGCATACAAATCGCGCACTTTAAGAAGGAAAACAATGCACCTAAAGCTTTAACCCGAGATGCACCTTAAGTACACAAATCACGCACCTTAAACACACAAACAAAACACCTTAAGAACACAAACCACGCGCACCTAAAGCTTTAGGCCGAGTACCTTAAGTACATAAATCATGCACCTTAAGCTCACAAACAAAGCACCTTAAGAACACAAACCACGCACCTTAAGTTTCAACAACTAGCGCACCTTAAGGATACAAATCACGCACCTTGAAAAGGAAAACAAGACACCTTAAGAAGGAAAACCACGTACCTGAAGCTTTAGGTTGACGCACATTAAGTTTTAACACTGATGCACCTTAAGCACACTAACCACGCACCTTAAGAAGGAAATTAAAACCATGCACTTAAAGCAACCGCACATGAGAAGACCTACCGCACGCGAATACAATTTTATATATATAGAGAGAGAGAAGATGGTTCACGAGCAAAAGAACTCCCCGATAAAAGAGCAAGTCAGATGTGAGTCGTTGATCTAGTTGCTCATAACGAAGGTAAAAAAAACTTGGCAACTTGGTAGCTGGACGGATAATGGATGCATGTGCATGCTCACATGTTGTATTGAGGACGTGGTGACCTCAAACTTGAAACTTCATACGTGCGTGTCACCATGGATGAAAGCATGCATGCAAGCGGAAACAATTTGGGATTTTTGGTACAAAGAAAGATAGGGTTTAAAGTATAGCTAGCATTGTGGGGAATTGGGATTGATATAATATCACCCATCTAAGAAGATTTTGGTGGAAAATTGCAAAACAAGTTGAAAAATATGTTACGTTTTAATTAAAAATTTAAATTTATTATAATAAAATTACATATTTATTAATTAGTTTATATGTTCTATGTTCATGAAAAATTATGATTTTATGTGATCCCAAGTCTAGCATCTAACCATCATTGTTTTCGCAAAATCACTGAGTATAATTTTTAAACAATTTTTAACCGACCAAATATTCTAATCACCAAAGAAGTGGGTAATACCTTTGATTTATGAGAAAAGTAGGAACTGTTACTTGATGAAGTTGCGCTCTCTCATAACTAATCAACCCAAATCAAAAAGTCTAATAGACAACTTCATGATAAGTTAAACTTAAAACCTTGTAATTACTAAGTCTAATACCAAAAGAAAATTTTGTGAATTCCAAAAGTGATCAAAAATTATGTTTTTAATTGAAAACTTCCAATCACTTTTGAGTGATTGAAAATTGCAAGACTTATAATAAAATAATAATAATAATAATAATAATAGTCAATTTTGTCAAAGCTCCTCTCTAATAAACCATAATCTCTAAATAATTATTATATTATTATTTTTAGTAATTATTATATGAAAAATTTTAACAATAATAATGTTCAACGAGCTAGGTACAAACCACTCATTGCTCAATTTCAACAAAAATATAGACGACAGAGTTGCATGAAAACGTGGAGCTAAGGCAGACGTGCTGCGCTGTGGTTAGAGATATAATAACTTAATAAATATAATCCTGCGAAAAATGATGAACATCATCATCATCATCATATCATCAAGTCAACTATATATTCATCATTGTTATGTATAAAATCGTGAATAGCACTTGCAACCAACGCCTTATATATATACATTAGGAATATATAACCACACATTTTATTTTTTTAGTCAAGTTCAATTCATTGCACAGAATCTTCTTAGTATTATTAATTTTTTCTGAGTAATTTATTACCTATTATACAAGAGTAAAGTTTACTTCGTACACACGCTCAAATAGTGGATGCGAATTCTCCTCGTTATTAAAAAAGATTGTATCAACTCGCATGTTGCAATTGATTATATAAACTAAATCGATTTGTGGTTGTTAACACTTGATTTGGATTAATTTTTATTCCAGAAAGTTAGTAACATAAACTATTTTTTTTATTATTATTTTATTTTACTTTATTTTTCCATATGGTATCTGGTACCCCGAACTCAAATTCAATCTACAACGCAATCTCACACCGGCTTCACAATAAATTTTGGAATCGTATTTACTTAAGTTATGCTTAAACATATTCTATTAAGCTAACTTTTATGATGAAATTAGGGCATTGGTTTGAGTGCTATGTTATACTATTGGTGCTCTCAGTGATAGACTGGTGCGTGGCAGGAAATAACTACTTGAAAACTAAAGGGGTTACTTGGTGCTTAATATGGTTCAAAGGGAACCAATAAGAGCTCAAAATAAAATTGCAAAGGCTATCTAGAGTAAGAGCCTTCCGCTCATCTGGTATCAACCTAGTGGAGGGAATGACCTTGAAAATTAAAAAGCTACTTGGTGCTGAGAAGTGCCTAAATTGAAGAGTGAGTTACTGTGAATATCGACTTTTCAAAAGATGGGTAATGAAACAATCCTGCATCGAATCTACAAAAAAACATAACTATTAAACTTGGTTTTATGATAAAATTAGAAGCTTGGTTTGAGTGATATAATGTATCATCCCAACAAAATTATTACATAGAAATAATAATGATAAAAAGATATACATGCAGTCTATGTCTAGATATTCAATTCTTTTTCTTGAGTATATTTTATTAAAATTGTGATATCAAAATTTAATTAATTAATTAATTATAATATATCATTATTTTCTTTGTCACGCGTAGTATCTTCACATCCAAGATGTCAAATAGCTTTTCACCTTGAGTATTGGTGTATATAAACAAACTACATTTTCAAAATAATTATATTGGATTATATTATTTATTTAATCTTTTTTTTTTGGAGCGACAAGTTAGCCTTCACTTGATCCGAATCTTTAATCACGTCGGCAAGTTAAAAAAAAAAAAAAAAAAAAAAAAAACAAAAAACAAAAAAAAAAAAAAAACAAAACAAAACAAAACAATCATTTTTGTATAATAATAACTCACAAGCTACACAAAAGAGATAAATCATACTAAAATCTTATGCAAAAGCTTAACCAAAAAAGTATTGACAATAATTAAACTTTTAACATTTCGGTACGAAAACAATGTTTAATTTCACCTATTCCGAGGCTAGTGCGGGCACATTAGCAATCTCTTGATTGTTGATTTTGTGTAGGGATGTATCTATCGGCATAATCACGTCGAAATTTTTTTAAAATTTTGATCACTAGAAAGTGGTAAAAAAAATCTAAGATTTATATATGATTGAAAATTGTGTTTTCTACTACGAGGATTCGAAAAAATTATTTACAACTTTAATGTTTTTTTTTTTTTTTAAACATAATGCAATAATATATGCATACTGCAAAACGAGATAACAGACTTAATTGAATGCAACTTCTCCATAACGACTTTTCTCTCAATATAATTATCCATTCTTTAAGTACAATTGCAGTTGTACGCCTCCACCCACTACGACCCACAAATCCCTTTTAAATAAACCTTAATTATCTTCTTAATCAATCAACCATTATACTTTGTATCAATTTAGATCATTAGGTAAAGTATACAAGCATTCACACAAATATATATAGCAGCCAGCTTTCAAAAGATCATCTAAGAAGAAGAAGAAGAAGATGATGATGATGATAAAGGCTGCTCCTTCAAAAGCTTTGGTTGTCCGGATCAACTTGGTTTTCTTTGGATTTTTCTTGATTTTCTATGCTACTCTCCTCTTCACAAATTTCCCTTCCATTGTTCTTAATTGCCCTCCAAAGGTGAGGTGAGACTAATCAAATCAATCATTTGATTTTTCATTGCTCATTTTAATTTGATATCTATATATGCCTTTTTTGAATGACATGAAACTTGTAGTCACTACCTAGAATGTGTACTAGATAAATTCTGTCTTGTGATCTTAACAGATAAAAGACTGTCTTGTAATCTTAACCAGTAAAGGACCAGAAAAAGATAAATCAATAGAGTTACCAAACTATCGGTCTGATCTGACCAACTTAATTGGTTATATTGTCTCCAAATCATATATACTTTTTGGTTACATTGTATGAGTGTTATCAGCTCTGGTTCTTATAGTACCCGATACAACTTAAAAAGATTGATAATTAATTGCTTTTTGTTTTCATGTTGTTTGACTAGTAGACAGAAGATGGGTTGCATAGGACGGCGGCGTTGGGAGAGCTGCGGGGAGATGGGTCAACGGCGGAGCGGAGGAGGGCGGCGGCGGTGAAGCGGGAGAAGCCGAGTTTCTTGAACGAGATAGGGGGATCAGGGATGAAGATAGGGATGGTGAACATGGAGGACGAGGATGTCGGAGAATGGAATCTCGACGGGGAGACAATCACCGTCCGGTACGAGAAGGTGTCGGAGAATCTGGAATGGAAACGCCTGTTCCCGGAGTGGATCGACGAGGAGGAAGAAACCGCCGCCGGGAAGCCGTCGTGCCCGGAGATACCAATGCCGGAGATGGCGGACTATCCATACATGGACCTTATAGTGGCCAAACTGCCATGCAACGGAACTTCGGCGGCGGCGGCGGGAGGGTGGGGGAGAGACGTTTTCCGGCTGCAAATCCATTTGATCGCTGCAAATTTAGCGGTGGCGAGAGGGCGGAGGGATTGGTACAAGAAAACAAAGGTTTTGTTGTTGAGCAAATGCCGGCCAATGGTGGAGTTGTTCAGATGTAAGGAGTTGAAGAAGCAAGAAAATGATTGGTGGTACTTTGAGGCTGACATAATCAAATTGTCCCAAAAAGTTTCTTTGCCTATTGGTTCTTGCAATTTGGCCCTGCCTCTATGGGGAAAAGGTATCTTGCTCAACCTTCTTTGAATAACTTATTGAGATTGAGTTTCACGACTTTGATGACATTTTCGCTATTGATGCATGACTCACTTTTAACAACTGTTGCAAAAATCAATCTAGGTGCCTGCCTAAGCGCTAGGTGCTCCTAGACTTTGGCAATTTCTCCCTTAAGCGCCTGCTTAAGCAATCGGGTGCCTAACTCGGCCGACTCGACCCCCTAGCGACTAACTCAACCAAGTTAACTCGTTCATTTTGATCAAGTTAGCCGAGTTAATCTAGTCGGCTCGACCTTTCTAATCTTTTTTCATTATATATAATATGACATATATATACTCATAAAGGTGCACGTTTTTTTTTTTTTTTTTTTAGTTAGCCGCATAGGCGCCCACCTAGACCGCCTAGGCGTTAGGCGCTACTCTACCGCCCGACTAGCGCCTAGTGCCTACTGCAACCATGCTTTTGACCTTTTCAATGAGAATTTAGAGAAATCCTACCCGATTTTGTCACATACTATTTAGAAGTAACCAAAGTTTTTGGATAAAAATGTTCATTCACAAGACATCATTCTTAATTGCTTAAAGCTAGTATGGTTTTTCTCTATAAACTTTGGCCATATAAGAGTGGGATTTCACCGGATTCTTGCATGAATGCATTCAGCTTGTAAGTCATGTTACAGTGGTATTTCACTAGATTTTTCATCAGAATAATCAACAATGAGAAAAAATAGAAGTCGTGCATATATAATTACTAGCTATTTTTATAGTTATGCATCAATAACAAAAATATCTTTAATTGAAGTCGTGCATATATAATTGTTAACTATTTTTATAGTTATGCATCAATAACAAAAATATCTTTAATTAAATTCGTGGCATAAAAAAATGATAAAAGCTCATAACTTTTGTGTGTATTATTATATTTGGGGTATAAATTAAGTCTATATATAATATAATTTTAGTTAGGGATTCTACCATAATGAACTTTCTTGTAATTATAGTTGGAATTAATTTCTAAGAGTGGGTGATGATTATAGAAAATTAAAAGCAACTAACACAAGTCACTTATGGAAGAATTTCATTTTGTCTATAATTCTGTTGCGCTAAATATAAATTACAGAGTATAAAATACTCCCAAAACATGAGACATTGCATGTATAAGATTTTTTTTTTTTAAATAATAAACATACTCTTTTCATATTGTTAAAATTAAATAAAATTCTCATTGTTTCATGGTAGTTATACTATATCATTATTTTTATTAGATGTTGATAGCCATTACTATCAATTTTGTTACTTAATTTTACCTAACATAATTATGAAATCATTACATATACCTAACATAACGACCCCATATACCTAAAATTAATCTAGTTTCTTCTCATATTTTTTAGTCAACTTTCCAAGTTCATGAGATTAAGTGTTATAGTTTCATGCAATGCACCCAATGATAGCTTCTTGAAATGGAAAAGCTTAATTGAGCCTTCATCACTAAACAATTCAAAATTCAGTATACGATTTAGCTTGCGTTTATTATATTAGTACAAAAATAGACCATAGCTTTAGTGTGTATTTCTTTTTTGACAAAATCTCATATGAGACTGTCTCACGGATTCTCATCTGTAGACGGATCAAATTTTTCATAAATATTACATTTTTCTTCATAAATATTACGAAATACAATTTTTCACATAAGTAACTCTTCAGTCTATAATATTATATTTTAATTTAAAAATATTATTTTTTTTTCTTTCTCTCATGAGTATCAATCAATTTATCATGATTATTGTTGCAATTTTTTTTTTTTTTTTTTTTTTTTTTGCTTATAAGGAACTATTCAACCACTAAATATTATATTTATATTTTTCTTAAAAAATATTACATTTTCCTACAAACAATTTATTCATAATTAGCATTACATTTTCTAGAATAAGTATTACATTTCTATACTAACATTAGACCCAAATCTAGCCTAATGGCATCGAATATTAGGGTGCGTGATGTGGATAATTGCGTATACCGTATCGTATGTATAGAGCAAGTAAGAGAATAGTAGAATAATAACAAAGGGAAGAAGTCATTAATGTAGCTCAAGAAGGCCTTTTATTCATGGGTGTCCTTGTATGTTATAAATGTAGCTCAAGAAGGCCTTTTATTCATGGGTGTTCTTGTATGTTATAAATGTAGCTCAAGAAAGCCTTTTATTTATGGGTGTTCTTGTATGTTATCTAGTACATATTCTAGAGAGGAGAGACTGGAGAGAGTTCTCATTGAAGGTGAGGGAGTGTAGGGAGGAGAGAAGATGCCCCCAAAATGGAGGGTCAAGTGTCCTTAAATAGGTGCAACCAATACGGGTTTGATCATGACCCAAACCGTTTGACCCGACTCAAATAGGAGCTCGAAGCGTACGGGGAGCTTGAATCCGGGGTATATTCCCCATCAGTGCGTTTGGTTCATTGATTACGTCTTCAATTAAAAATGTGTATCATGCCAAACTTATCCCCTCATTGATTACGTCTTCAATTAAAAATGTGTATCATGCCATCTTATCCCCTCATTATCATCTTTACCTCCCGATTTGTCGCTTCTTCACTATATCCCGCCGATTTTTGTTTTGATTTTTTGTTCATATTGATACTTTAAATGTAATTATATTAGGATCAATGTCATTGATTTTTTTTATTTTATTTTTGTATTTCTAAAACTTTTATCCTCATTATCATTCAAATTCTCACTTGTATTTGTTTGTAGGCATGAACAAGGTTTATGATGTGTCCAACATAGAAAATACAGCAATGGTAGCTGCTAAAAGAGAGGCTTATGCCACAGTTCTCCACTCGTCCCAAGCCTATGTTTGTGGAGCAATAACTCTAGCACAAAGCCTCCTCCGAACCGGAACCAAACGCGACCTTATCCTCCTCTTGGACAGCACTATCCCCGAAACCAAACGCGAGGCGCTGGCCAAAGCCGGGTGGAAACTCCGGTTCATCAAGCGGATCCGAAACCCGAGAGCGGAGAAGAAATCCTACAACGAATACAACTACAGCAAGCTCCGATTATGGCAGCTCACGGACTACGACAAGGTAATCTTCGTCGATTCCGACGTCATCGTCCTGCGCAACATCGACGTCCTGTTCCACTTCCCGGAGATCTCCGCCGCCGGGAACGACGGCTCGATTTTCAACTCCGGCGTGATGGTGCTCGAGCCGTCGAACTGCACGTTCGGGCTGTTCATGCGGCGGGCGAACGACATCGTTTCGTACAACGGCGGCGACCAGGGATTCCTCAACGAGATCTTCGTGTGGTGGCACCGGCTGCCCCGGCGGGTGAATTTCCTGAAGAATTTCTGGTCGAACTCGTCGGCTGAGACAACCCTAAAGAATCGCCTGTTCGGGTCGGACCCTCCGGAGCTTTACGCCATACATTATCTGGGCATGAAGCCGTGGCTCTGTTACAGGGATTACGATTGCAACTGGGACATCAGCCACCAACGCGTTTATGCTAGCGACGTCGCGCACCGGACGTGGTGGAAAGTGCACGACGCCATGGATGAAAAGTTGCAGAGGTTTTGCGGGTTATCCGATTGGAGAAAGATCCGGCTGGAGAAGGAAAGGAAGACGGCTAGAAAAATGGGGTTCCCAGATCAGCATTGGAGGATCAACGTCACTGACCCTAGAAGATTTAACTAATTTTTATTTTCTTTTTAAAGTTATTATTATTGTGTTGAAAAAATCGCTAAGCGTCTGGGACCCCCTAGGGCGCCTAAACGCTTAGAGCGCCTAAGCTGATTAGGAAGTCGACGGCTTAGCGCCTAGGCACCAATCTTAGGCGCGATTTTTTCAACACTGATTATTGTATAATGACAAAATCACCTAATTTAATTAATAACGCGTATATATGTCTGAAGCAAAAATTTGTGTGCAACCATCTCACTGTCTCAATACATAAGACGAGTCGAATTTTTGATTAATGATGTCAAATCTTTGACCTCATTAATCAAATATCCGACCCTTCTAAAGTTACTGTTAAACAACAAAAAAAAAAAATTATAAATAAAAAAATGTTAAAGAAAATAAAAAAAAAATAATTTGACAAATGAATAGTAAGTAAAACAGGTAAAATGAGACAAAAAAAGTATTATATTTATAGGATTTACTCATTACACATTAACACTTAACATTTCATTTATTTCCAATATAATTTTTTAAATATTTCTTTTGTCATTATTCAATAACCAATATTTATTGACGTGATACTCCAATAACAACTTCAATTGGGGCTCGTTTGGTTCGCAGGAAATATTTTAAGGGAAGTGGAATTGAAATTTCATGGAAAAATAATTACTATGAAGATGAATTTCATTGTTTGGTTGGTGGAAAAATAATTACTGAGAATATTAATTCTATTGTTTGGTTAGATTTGGAATTGTAAGAAATAACGAGTATAAAGACCTATATGCCCCTACAAATTAATAAAAGTAATATAATTAAAAAAAAAAAGTAAACAAGGGTAAAATAGGTATTCTATCTCACTTTTTCTTCCCATCTAACAAGGGACCAAGGATTTTATTTTCCTCAAATTTGATGAATTCATTTTCCAATGGAAAATGAATTTCATGAACCAAACGCAAGCAAATAACATTTTCCCACACTTTAAAGAAAATGTTTTCCTTTAAAAAACATTTTCTATGAACCAAACATCCCCTTATTACGTTTTTGGAGGAGAACATGTTGAAGCAAAGAAGGGGAGACAACTAGTTGAGCTAGCCAAATGTTGGTGTACCCAAATACCTAATGGTCCAACAAGGCTATATATTATTTAATAATTAATTTCTTATTTGAATTATGACTATGATTATTCAATAATATATATTATCTCACACAAAACTAAATTTCATTAATCACACACGTACAATCTACAAATTAAATTAAGAGGCGTTTGGTTCACGGAATCTTGGATTACCCCAGGTAATAAGATTACCTCTTGGAAGGTAATGTGAGATTTTGGGAATGTAAGATTATCTTGTGTGTTTGGTTTGGATGGTGTAATATAATATTACCTTGTTTGGTTCAGGGTTATATTTTAGGTTATATGAATCAATTTACAATAATGCCCTCAATAATATATATATATATATATATATATATATATATATATATATATATATATATATATATATATATATATATATATATATATATATATATATATATATATATATATATATATATTATGTGTGTGTATTTATTTATTTATATGTATGAATGTATATCAAAATTTAAATATTAAAAAAACTAAATATATAAATATACACATATGTATATTTGATTATATAAACATATATTAATTTCATTATTATTATTATAATAATAATAATAATAATAATTATTATTATTATTATTATTATTATTATTATTATTATTATTATTAGTTAACAAGGGCAAAGTTGGAATAATTCAAGGTAATCTAAGATTACCTAAAAAAATGGGGGTAATCACATTACCTTGAAACATTACCGCCACATCAGCTTTCAGGTAATATAACATTACCTGGTAATCTCATAACTTGAACCAAACAAGGTAATATAACATTACCAGACTCAGATGACCTAGGTAATCCAAGATTCCGTGAACCAAACGCCCCCTAAACAAATTGTGACAAATCAACCCAACACTAGGATGTGCTTGGCATGTTAGAATAAAGAATCAAACCAACACAAAATGGATTTGGGTTTTATTCACTTTAGTTTGAGTCTTTTCAAATATATTTTATTATAATTTTTTTTTTTAACTAGAAAAGTGAAATTATTTTTATCATTTCAACAAGATTAAACAAAGATTTTTTTTTTTTTTTTTAAAGTAACATGTAACAAAGTGATTGTTATCTCTATTTTCCTTTTTAGCCAAAAAAAAAAATAAATATTGAATTAAAAATTATTGTAAAAATTCTCATAAAAACAAGAGTTAATACATGAAATGATCTATTGATTGTGCCATAATATTCAAATTAATCACCGGCTATCAATATTTATCCAAAATGATCCTTCAATTATGCAAAATTTACTCAAATTAGTTTTTTCAATGTAAGTAATAAATGACTGAATTAAGTAGATTTCATAACTTTGCTAGCACAAGTAAAAGGAATTATATTAATTCTAATATCTGGGCAATGTCCTGCGCTATTGCAATAAGATTAGGTCCATAAGAATCGAATTCGTGACTTTTACGAGGGTTTGGTTGGAGGAAATTACAATTCTATTCTCACCTAATTTTCACATAATTTAGAAGGCAACTAAATTCATTCGTTTGGTTAGATGGAATTGCAATTATGCAACATTGAAATTTCCTATCATTTTCATGGAATTAGAATCTCAAGTTCCATTGGTATTTCAATTCCATGAATTTTCAGAAGAAAAAAAAAATAAGTTTGAGACAGAATTACCCTTCTCTTTTTTAATCTAAAATTGATGTTTGACTTCTCTTTTGATTATAGGGTGTCTTCTTCTACTCTCAACATAAAATGTCAATCAGTATGTCAAAACTCGCTTATCTATTTTATTATTTCGTTATGCAATTTTATAGTTTATTTGCAACATAAATTTTCAAAAGCAAAATTTGAATTTGATCATTTAAGATTAATAATAATAATAATAATAATAATAATAATAATAATAATAATAATAAGTATGGATATTTTGGACTTTATACTACTTATTTCCTTTCAATTCTTATGTATATCAAACATTAGAATTGAAATTCTCAATACTTATAGTCTTGCAAATCAAACACTATAATTTAAATTACCACTTTATTCTACATTATTCATCCCTCATAGAATTGCAATTTCATTCCCACAAATTTCCTCACTCTAACTAAATGTCCTCCGTTATAGTATAAGAATTATGCTTCATTTACTCAGTCATCTCTTTCTAAATAACTAGTCAATACTTTTTTGTTTTTTAATGGCGAAAGACCACTAGTCAATACTTTTACTGTTAGGTATGCTAAATTTTCCTATAATTTATACTGAACTATAAAGTATAATTTATAGATACTCCGTATATATTTTTTCCTTTATTTTTATTTTTCTTTTGAAATTTAAGTTCACTGTCTCCTTCTTGATTAAGGTATGCCACGCACGCGTCCCCTTTTTCCATTAATTACTCTCTCTCTTTTTTTTTTTTCCAAAAAAAAAAAAAAAAACTGTTATCCTTATCCTATCATATTTAATTTATAATTAAAAGTGATATTTATTTAATTACATATATAATTTACTAAAAATTATAATTAATTAAATATATTTTACTTTTTCTTTTGATAGTTTGTTCGTAATTTTTTAATCACTGAGGTATTTGCATTGTTTACAGCTTTCACGTAATGATTCCTTTTCTCTTTACTCATTTTTAACCCTATAATTTTTTACTCTTTTTTTTTAAAAAAAAAAAAGAAAAAATTATTAACAGGAGAGAGAGAGAGAGAGAAAGCAGACAGGAGATTCATAAAGATCCATTTATGGCGTCAGAGTTCTGATTTTTTCTTGTTTGTTTTGGGTGATTCCTGGACCTGGTATGTGTTCTTCTTATTCTTCTTCTTTCTCTGTATTTCTTTCTAAATTTTTCTTTAATTTTCGCATACATTCAAGATAATAATTTTAATAATTCGTGAATCCGATTCTGTAGATGTTTAATTGTTGATTTGGCCTTTAATTCTGAATGTGTTTATCTATCTGTGTATATATATGCCGTAAAAAATTAAAAGAGAATCAAATAAGATGAAATCGGAGCCTGCTGTGAGGTTTTTGAGAAGGACATTATTGATTTGGGAGATTATTGAGATTATCTTTTTAAAAGAGAAGTGATTTTAGCTGGGAATTGTGGTTCTGATGAACTTTGATTTGGAATTCGACAATTCGTTATGTGGTGATAGGGAAGTGCTAAGATTTGGGTTATATATATATATTTAAAGGATAATATTTGTTAGCTTCTCTGATGTGTACATTTTGTGTCTAATTGAAGTTGGAATGTTGAGAGTTACCTAATCCTATCATTTGTCAAAGATAAACAAATGTATTATGTTGACAAGAATGGTTGAGTGTTGTATGCTACAAGCTGTGACCAAAGGTGCATAAAAGTTTGTGTTCTCTCCCAGAAATTCCACAGATTGGATGGTTGACTGCTATGCAGCATAGGGCTGGAACCATCTTCATCTAGAGTTTACCCACGTTTTTTTTTTTTTTTTTGCATATGAGACATGTTTGAATGAAAAACAATCTTTTTCAGATGCTATGCGAAATGATGTTCTTGGATGAGGAAGTCTATGTGTGTGTGTGTGTGTTGCTGGCTTGCTTTCTAAGATTAAGTTATTATTTTGAGGTTTGTTGTTAGCATAGAAGTGAATACTTTGTGCCTCCGGTGGTCTGTAAAGTCTAAATTTTAATGCTGTAGTTGGTTGAATAGACAAGTAGGAACAGCAACCAATTCCTTTCAATTGGCCCCTGGATAGTGATGTGATGAAAATTTCTAAGGTTTCTTTGGACTTTGGGTTTCCAAACGTTTTTAAGACTTGATTAATACACTGTAGATGCTGTTTATCATGACTGATTCCTTTTAAACCACGTAATATAATCAGAATATTGATCCAGGCCAAGTAAAAGTATGGATGCTAGGCTTCGTTGCGACTCTGTCCAATAGCTAAAAGAGATTAAAATTTTTCGTTATGTTATCCAGCATCTGAAGATGTGTGTTGTATATGTATGACTAGAATAGTAAACCACATAATTGTCCAAGCAAATAATTTCATTCTTGATCTCTTCTTTTACAGGATTCTCGTTTTTCTTATTTTGGTTTCATTAAATCTCTTTATTCCTTTAAGCTGCATAACAAAATGCACCTTCCCTCAGATACCCAA